CTGCTTTTTCTCATAGTAGCTTCATCTGGTCTGTTCCTGTTTGGCTGTGACTCCATCCTAGAGAGAAATATCAGCTGTTAAACAGTTCTGATAAAGAGTGTACGAGAACAGAAGCGTTAGATTTTTGTACTGTTGCGCCGCTGCCATTTTTTGGCCCTGATACCAATACCAGATACCTGGCTGTGCAGTATCGGCCGATACGATACCAACTGTTTGAAATTGATGTGTGTGTATATATGAAGAACTGCATACTGCTTGGATGTAAAATAATCACCATCATGGCTTCAAGCTGCTGCCTTCCTTTGTGAAGCAGGAAAGAGACTAAAACAAAGTGAATCCAGTTGAACTTTTTATTGCCTACCTGGAATGGGTGACAATAGTTGAAGAAACTTTTGGCTCTCAAAATGGTATCAGTGCTCTATTTTTTTGTACTTGTCGATACCAATGCCACCATTTTAGAGCTGGATTGGGGCCCCATCCGATACTGGTATCGGTGCAAGACTAGATTTTTGCCCCAGTTTTTGTTTGTTTTAGTCTCTAACTTCAATAAGATTTACTTTAGGATTAACCTGTTTGCTGAGCTTAATTCAGATTCCCATTACCCCTGAGCTGCTTTTGCGTTCTAGCTGAGTGTTAATCATGCTGCAGGTGGTTAGGGTTAGCCACAAAAACCTCTTTACTTTGTTGTTTAAAGGAAAGTGACACCAGTTTATGAAAAGTACCAAGATTTTCAAAAAATAAGCAAAAGGGAATATATTGGATTGTCCTAATTGTACGGTGGCCCTGAGGTGCAAAACACAACACAAAAAGAGAAAACACAACGGCAAATCCGAAAACACAACACAAAAAGAGAAAACACAACGGCAAATCAGAAAACACAACACAAAAAGAGAAAACACAACACAAAAAGAGAAAACACAACGGCAAATCAGAAAACACAACACAAAAAGAGAAAACACAACACAAAAAGAGAAAACACAACACAAAAAGAGAAAACACAACACAAAAAGAGAAAACACAACACAAAAAGAGAAAACACAACGG